CTCCTAAATTTTTCAATGATTAGTAATATATATAACTCCATATTCATCATTCCCTATGACGTTTTCTCATTCTTATTATCATGCGAATTGTCTTCAATACACGTACTAGAGTAATACTCATTTGTTTATGCCAACATCCCACTTCCATCAATGAACTTTTGTAACTTTTACTATTATTCATTCTTCACCAAAACTTTCATGTAAGTTATATTCTTAATGTCTTATTATAAAATCTCTTTTAACACCTCAAAACCTTCATCATAATGTATTCATCAATTTTCATTATAAATCTTTCTCATTAAAGTCAACTAAGGCTTCGTTTATTGATAATTATTCGTAAATACGTCCAAGCAACAATCATATATGTTATTTTCCTCACTTTTAATTGTCATTTTTGCCGCTTTAATTGTCATTTTTACTATCTTAATTGTTGTTTCCTCCATCTTATGCTTTTATTATCCTTCATTCTTAGTCTTTTGAAATCAGTAGCTCTGATATTCTCTTATACAATCCACTCGTAATAACTCATTATTATTAAGTCACTACGATCATTACTTTAAACATCGCGTCACTGATAAAAAAACATCCAATGAAATAGAACGGAAAGAGTATTATTTTAATTTTTTTTCTAAGTTAATATTGTCTACGCATTATTATTATTCATGCATTAGCATCATAGGCGGTGCGGATTTCAGGGTGCAATTGCCCCCCTCCCCCAAAAATATATTTTAGGAAAAATAAAATAAAATTTATATAAATATATTATTTTGTCTCTTCCTAAAATTCATTGTCTCTTTTAAAATAAAATTTATAATATATTTTGTTATTATTTTTATTTTTATTAATATACTAATTTTAATTATATTTTATTAAATAAAAATATAAATTTTCTATACTAAATATTACAAGTACCTCCTTACATTATCGATTAATTTTATTTTATTTTTTTATCATCCTATAGCATCAAGGAAATCAAAGAAAATAGGATTGAAATGATACATAAGAGAATCTGACCGATATATTTTTATAAACTTTTAAAATCCTCATAAAAAAAAAAAAAAAAAATTGAACCATTTGTTTAAACAAAAAAATCGACGATTTGCAGTTTAAAACATGTTAAAATTGAAATCAAATCATAAAAACTCAAAACTTAGCAGACAATTCCACCTCTAACTTCGGAAGCTAGTTCCGTCCTTGATTAGCATGAAAGCTATATATATAAAAACTGAGAGATTACAGTGTTGATTTATTCAAGTCAGTATATGAAAGATAGCAGTACAACAAATTAATAGTTTCAATTAACATATTATATATATTGTATTAATTGAAATCAATTGCTGATCGTATATATTTATAAATCGTATTGTATTAATAATTTTTGTATAGAAATCAATAATAGTACGAATTGTATAGATGAATATCACGTGCTAGGTATATAATTATGTGCCGTCTAATATTAACCAATGTGCTATTAGCAGTGTGTTACTAACTATAATATAAAGTATGAATGAAAGCATAATAATAATAATAATAATTATTATTATTATTATTATAAAGGCCGACATGCAATCCAACATATAATAATAGGAAATGAATAAAATAATCAGATTGCCCATATATATAAAAATAAATTAAAATAAAAATAGATGCATATCTTATTGCTAGATATTGTATGCCCACTGTCAATACAACTACTACATATAACCTAAACCCACAGAAAAACAAAACCATTTTGTCTGGGATTTGGGTTTTAAGTTGGGATTTGAATAGTAAAAATTTTAAATTTGAATAGTTTTATAATGTGATATAAATAGGTATTTTGATGTGATATTTTGAATGTAAAATTAATTTTTATTATAATATAGAAAATAAAAAATAGGTATTTGATTTGATATTTTTGGAGAAAAAAAATGGGATAAATAGTGAAAATCTAATCAAATTCCCGAAACAAACTAATTCAATCTTCAATAATCACACACCACTGATTCAATAATATTAATTTATTAAATAACTAATTAATATGGGTCCAGACATTCATGAATCTACTACTCTCATCTCAAATATTATTTAACAACTTATTTTATGTAATCTAACCTTTCCATTATGCTAACACAAATCACAAATAATTAAAGCATTCTTTAAAAAAGAAGAAAAAAAAAGGGGGAGGGGGGGGGGGTGGAGGGGGGGTGTTGGGGGGCTCTGTTTTTTAATTTCTTTTGTTATATAATTCCAACAATATTTTCCTATTAAAAATAATTTTTTTTTTTGACAAAATATCACAATTCCCTTGTATTTTAGCTATATTTTGAAACCATTTTGGAGTCTAGGGAGTTCTGAGAATAATAAAATGTTGAATTAAAAAATAAGTATGTTATATGAAATAAATATGTATTAGACATGACGTTTTATATATATAAAAAAAAAATAGAATTTTGATATAAATATATAAATATATATTATGTGATATATATATATATATACATATTGAAAATGTACTATTAATTAATAATATATTAAAAGATGAAGATTATAATTTAGAATATTCATTCAACTTATTATTATTTATTATTATTATTAAGTAAGTTTCAATAAAAATATATATAAATATTAAGTTTCAATAAAAATCCAGCTGCAAATATAAAAACAAAAATACAAGTGGATGAAATTAATATAATTAAGTAACCAAATCATATATGCATAATGTATGGAGACAATTATATTTAAAAAATAAAAGGAATCTGGAATCAATCAATCAATCTAGCTAGCTAGCTAAGAAAAAAGATAATCAGAAAATCAAGTAGATTAGTATAATTGATAAAAATGTGTGTGTGTTCTAAGTACCAATGCAAAATTGAGTCACATGTAATATGTTTCTTGGATCCCAACAAAGTAAAGGGATCTTGAATGATGGCTTTGTCTTCTTTTAATTTTAATTTTATTTAATTCTATTTAATATTATTTTATTTATTTTTTTGGAAATAGATCAAGATCAGATATATTAGCTTTAAATGAATACCTAACTAAAATCTGGTGTTGTGGGTAGTAGTTCATGTGAATGTCCTTGACTAAATTTAATGCCAAGGAGCAGACAAGGGGCACTTTGACATGACACAAGCTAGAAATGGGAGATGAATTTACATACACAAAAACATATATATATATATATATATGTAAATTAATTATTCATATCTTGTCCTTTTGGAAATTTCCCAATAGATTTTATGGGACAAACTTCTATTGCAATTCAATAATTCAGGAGCACATTGAAATTTTTGTATGATTTGATTATTTTATATGTAATATAAAAACATATATTTGCTATATATATATATGTATTGAAAGATAAGTATTGTATCTTATCATTTAGAATATCCACTCCCATAGAAAGTGTATAAATACAATAATCTGTCGATAAAGTTGAGTCGACTTTAAAAAAAAAAAAAAAACCAATAAGGGGGAGCTGAGTTGATGTGGATTACGAATTTATGAGCGCAAGATCAAGGTTTAAATTTTTTTTTTAGTGTGACTAACCTAGTTTGCAAGTTTTTGGTGCTCGGCCGCGGATTTACCCAGTTATGTACTTGAAGAATAACAACCGTAAATTTCTAACATTATAAAAAAAACACATAATATAAAATATGATTCAAGTTTGTTCTTTTGTAATTTCAAATTTGAATCAATACTATTTATTTGTACAATTTTTAGTAAAAATATATATTTTTCTCTTATAAAATATCACATCAAAATATTGTTTAAACAAAATTTAAATCAGCATTTTATTTCAAATTAATTTCAAACCGAAACTGAACCTTTGACATAATTGATAATAGTCACACTTAATAAGAGATTTTACTACCAATTCAATTCAATAACTCATCAATGTTTTAGACACATATATATATGCATTATATATTTTGGGTTAGTGCAATATTTTTACCATTAATGAGCTTTGATATTGGTTTTTTATGAGCATTCTTAAGTTTTTGATATTGAATAGGGGACTTCAAATTCAGATTTAATCTATTTTCTAATTTTTTTTTAATAAAATAAGAAAAAAAAATTAAAATGATATTAGTATGTGAGGTAAATGTGTAATAAATTATTGATCTGATCGATAGATGTTCGGCTAATATAATGGTTTAAGAAGTGCATTTAGAAAATAATAATAATAATAATAATAATAATAATAATAATAAAAATAGAGAAAACAATTTTAAATGTAAAATGAAAGAACACAAACAAGTAAAGACTCACCATATATTTTCTTGTGTTTTACACTATAATTTACATTAAATAATTTTTTAATAAAAATATTATATACCATATTTTTTTTTCATTCAAAATATTATTAGAAAAGAATATTAGAGCCAAAACAACCCTAGAACCAATAAAAATCTAAGATGGTTTACACATATTTTTTGAAAATTTTGATACTTTATCAATAGCAACTTTTTCTTTCAAAGATTATTATATTAAGTATATTTTATTCTCACAAATTATTAAATTAAGTACCTAATATCTTACTCCCTCCGTCACATTGTCATTTCTGTCTATCTTACATTCCATGTCACTTTTCTTTTTTTAAAAATGATTACACACTTTAATTTCATTTTAAATTTTTTAATTTATTTTTTTTAATTTTAATTAAACTAATTAGTTATCTTAATTTTAATTTATAATTATTTATATTATAGGATAATTATTTTCACTAATACATTCTTAATTATCTACTAATTACACCCCTCTTAAAATACCGTATCTACAGTATAGCAGACACGGTATGCGGGACGGAGGGAGTATTATTTTGCAAAATTTTTCAAAACTTAAAAAGTTCTATCAATCATCTAAACAAATGAAATTTGAACTTAAGTTGATTATAGTAATATTTAGTTTTTCTAGCTAAACATACATACAAAAGTAGGTTTTACACAAAAATATAAAAGAAAATCCATTTCATTTCCTAATGTGGAATGCACAAAGAAACATCAAATAACATCAGCAATCAGAACATGACACAAATGTCAAGTGCTTAGTTGTGGAAACTCTACTAAAAAAATTAAAATAATATAAAATCATATATCACCACCTCTAAAAATTAAATCCCACAAAATAGACTCTAGATAATGCTGATATATAAATATATACATATATATATATATATATGATATACACACAGACATCTGATCTGAATTGATTTGCCAAGACCCTTTAAAGAAACACAGTTAAGTTAGGAAAAAGACACACTTCTTGATATGGAAATCTAATGCTTGTCATAAATGGCAGATTTGTACCCAAAAAACTGCCACTGCACTTACCCACCCCATATCCATCAATTAACATTATTCATCATCGTCTTCTTCTTCAAACTTTTGAAGAAATCCAACATCAAACATCATCGTAGTAAGTGAAAGAAATTAGACAGTGATGTGTGTTTGTTTCGACAGCAAATTTGGAAAAATTCTTGTCAAGTTGGAGTCTTGATTTTGCCAAAAATGGCATAAGCGAGCTGGGAGCTACATTACACACACAAAAATAAAAAATAAAAAAATAAAAACTAGGGTTCATCTTAATAGTGATAATTTAATTAATTTCCAGTAGAAATCCAGACAATAAAATATATATATATAGATGAAGCTAATTAATTAAGTAGAATACATTACTCCATTGATTCCGGCGGGCCTGTATCGATCTAACTGAGCGGTGCGGCGGATGACGGCGGCGGAGGGGGCGGCGGCGGCGGCCTTTTCCGCTTCTTCTTCTCGTAGCTGATCCCTCTGGCCTTGGCCTGAGAATCTCTGACTTCCCGGAGATAGAGGCGGACGGCTCTAGCGCCGAAGGGGTTGGATTCGGGGTTGCCGCCGTTCTCCTCGTAGGCGGCGCGTAGGCGGCCGATGAGGGCGTCGAGGCTGCCCCAGGCCTGGCGGAGCGGGCAGGGGCAGGGGGCGGGGGGGTTGGGGTGCCCGAAGAACGGGCAGAGGTGGGTGTGGACTTTGGTCTTCCCGAACTGGTCAAGGTACCGGAGGAATTCCAGCACGTGCGCGCCGCTGCACCGGGAGAGGGCCAGCGGCGGCCGGTGGTTGCGGAGATACTGCCCGAAGGTGTTCCAGTCCCGGCGCTTCTGGTTCTCGTACCGGCTGAGCTGCTGGGTCGTCGTCGGAGATGAGACTGTCGCCGCCGCTGTCGCCACCGTCGCCGCCGTCGACGGCGGCGATGATCCCATGCTGTTGCTGGTGGTGTTGATTGAAATCGAAATTGAATTGGGGTTTGAAGAAGAAGCTGCTGCAGCAATGGCGAAGCTGTAGATCTCACCAGGGTTTGGGGGATCCATTAGAGAGAGAGAGAGGGGTGTTATGAATTAGGGTTTGGGAATATTGAGAAAACCTAATTGGATCAAGAAAAGGGATTAGGGTTTTTGGTGAAATGAAGAATTACAAGAAGAAGAAATGGTGATCGTTGGATAAGGTTTGATGATTGAATTAAAGTAAATTAATTTAATTTGATGATATATGTTTATATATGTGTTCTATAGAGAGAGAGAGAGAGAGAGAAAGAAAACCTATGAAAGTTTGATGATGGAGAGGGGCTAGCTTTTTATGAGGGTTTGTTTTCTGTAAACATTTGAACAGATTTGACTGAGATTTTTCCTTAACTGTTGCTATATATGCAAAAAGATGGAAGAAAGAAATCTAGAGAGAGAGAGAGAGAGAGAAGAGATGATGGAGACAGAGGAAAACTGTGGAACTTGAGAAAGGCAAAAATAATACTCCTAAGATAAAGAAAAAGAGAGAAAGAATATTTTAACATATATAATATATATATATTCGTTTGTATGTGCGTATAAATAAGGAAATTTATTAAGTACAACTCAATCTGACCGGTTAAAAAATATTGATATTATATTGATAGTCGGTAAAATGTACAAGTAAAATTTTTTTTATCTTTGTGAGTCTATTAATGTAAAAAATAATAGTATTTGTGTAATAATAATAAAAATATATGAATAATTTTACGGTGATATATGAGTATTTATGGAAATTAGACTATTGTTTTGGAACAGACAAAAATGGTAAACAAGACTATTGTATTGGGACGGAGGAAATATAATATATGCTACTCCCTCGTGCAAATGTGTGCTCATTTGACCGGATATGAGATTTAATAAAAGTGAGTAATAATTATTATTTTTTCATTTTATAGTTAAAAAAAGTACAAGAGTGTAATAAGTTTTTACTTAAAAAAGTAAACGAGAATATTTTTGATGAAAATCCAAAAAGAAAAGTGAATATAAATTTGAATAACGGACAGAGTATTTTTTGTGATAATTTTTTGTTATTTTTTTATGTATAAAAAAAATTAAAATTCATCCTCAACTATAGAATCATGTTTGTTGTGTTTCTTTGTGAGTTTTAAGTAGGTTTTTTACTATTAAGATTTTTTTTCTTCCAAAAATATCATATCAAATAATTATTTTTAATTTTTTATATTATTCTATAAAATTATTTTACATTAAAAACATTACAACAATCTCTATTTATATCAAATTTATTTTTTTACTATTCAAAAATTCAAATTCAAAAACTACAACCCACAAACAAACACACCGGTTGTGTTCTATTGTGGATTTTTAACCAAAATTTTACTTATTTATCAAATTTTATGTTCTAAAAAAAAATACATTAAATTAAACATTTATTTTTTTTATATTATAATAAAAAAATTTGAAATTCAAATTATTATATCAACACATATATATCACTTCATATAATTACTATTTAAATTGAGAAAACAACACACCAAAAAAAAAAATAATTAATAAAAAATAAATAAAATTATAAATTAGTACATATTAAAATATAAATAATAAAATTATAAATTATATACTATAAAAAAATAGATATAAATTTAACATAAAATAATAAAAATAAATAAATTACTACTCCATAATTTTCGCGACCAGAAAGTGGATCAATCTGGAGTAATTTTATGGTGTCACCAATCAGATATGCTTTTTATTAATTAAATAATTTATTTATTTTTGGTTGATTGACAACACCTTTTGCAATGACCAAAATGTCCAATCTCTGATGCCTTTCCCATTTGTGGTTTACCTCATTTTGCAATTTTTTTTTATTTATTATTTTTTCACAAAGAGTGGCACAGAATTTTATTTTGAATATATATATATATATATATATTATTTTTTCATTAATTATTTTATCTTAAAATATTCCTCCATTGTCTCTCTTAATATCTAAAATTTGATAATTATGCTTATTAATCAACTTTATAATTTAATTTTGGAAGTCGTGAAATATTATCATTAGAGATTAGAGATATAATAGGATACCTACCACAGGGTGCATGTGGCTGATTTTGTAAATAAAATAAATTCTAAATATAATAGTATATTAAATAAATATAAATATTAAATATGATATCTTGTGTGTTTGTTCGGGGGTTTGGATTTTGACTTGAGATTTAAATAGTAAAAATTTTGAATTTCAATAGTTGTATGACGTGATATAAATAAATGTTGATGTGATGTTTTGAATGTAAAATTGATTTTTAATATAATATAAAATGTAAAAAATAGGTGTTTTATTTAATATTTTTTTAAAAAAAAAGTGGATGAATAGTATAAATCCAATCCAATCCCCCAAACAATCACACCCTTAATATATATATATATATATATATATATACACTTGGATCAATTGCACTATTAAAAAATATGGACAAACACACCTGTGATCATATGGTAAATATTAAATATTATGGCTACATTTTTTATTTTCTATTTTTTATTCAAATATTTTTCCTATTTAATTCTATCGTTTTCAATATAATTATAATTATATTTTATACAAAATATTACTATATCTTATTACTTATTTTATTTGAATATTGGTTTGTTAGTTATATTTTTCTATTATTTATTAAAAAAATTGTCTTTCAAAATATGACATCCATGTTAAACAGACCTAAAGGCCAAGGTACTTTAGACTTTTTCATTTACACAAATTTATTAATTAATATATATTTTTTAATCTTTATTAGATTAATTTGTTATCTTACTTTATAATTATTTTTATTGTATTATAATTATATTTATTAATATATTTTTTTAATTATATCACTTTTAAAATCTCGTATCCACAATACACAAAACGAAATATGCGAGATAGATGAAGTATTACAAACCTCTCACAAATATCAAATTAAATTTTTATTGTCTTTTAAAAAAATTATATTATATTAAAAGTCAATTTTATATTTAAATCAATATCACATCTAACATATATTTATATCATACTCTTTGTCCTAAATTTTTTATCCATATCATCGTAGATATGAAAATTTAAGTAAAGTATATAATTAGTAAGTAATCAAAAAATATATTAGTAAAAATAATTATTTTATAATAAAAATAATTATAAATTAAGATAACTAAATAGGTTAACTTAAATTAAGAAAAATTAAATTATAAAATTTAAAATATAATTAAAACGTGTAATCATTTTTTTTTAAAAAAAAAGATAAATTATGTGAAACGAACGGAGAATATTAAAAAACTATTCAAATTTAAAATTTTAATATTCAAAACTCAAACCTTCGAACGAACACACTAATACGTGTTTTCTAGTTTGATTTTGAATTTTAATTTTGAATAATAGTTTGAATTTAATATCATAGTACATGAAATAAGATGTTTTGTAAGAGATTCGATTATTGAATAGTAAAAAATTGAAATCAAACTCAAGAATCTAAAGATACACCTCATTATATTAATAAAATTATACTTTAAAAATAAATTAATAAAATTATACTTTAAAAATAAATAAATAAAATTATACTTTATTTACAACTATATTTAAAAAAACAAAAAAAAGCGAAGGCAAAATAGCATAAAATCTCATGTGGTTTGGTGAATTTGTTGAAAACCCCGTGTGGTTCGAAAATTCCATAAAATCTACTTGTGGTTTCTAAAATGTTGCAAAAAATACCCCCACCGTTAATATTTAACGAAGAGTGTATTGTACACGCGATCACCGCGTGTTATTGAAAATTTACATAAAAGTTACAAAATTACCCTTCTTTCTCCAATATTTTACCTAATTATCCTTCTTCTCCTCCTGCGCCTAAATTTGGGGATTTCCAGTCTCAGTGGATTTTTCTCTTATGATGATAAGTCAGACTTCGCTCCTCCCTATTCCAGCCGCCGCCTCAGCCTCTTCTCTCCACCGTCCACGCCGAGTCCGACCGCCACGAGCATATTCTTGTTTTTTGCCCAAACTCAAAAACCAACTCTCGCATGCTGTCAATCTAGATCTGTTGCAGTTCTGGGTCGGGTTGGGTACAATTTTTTCGAAATTAAGCCGACAAGATTACACCTAAAGGAATTGGAAATATGAGACGAGATATTCTTTGGGTATTTTTATTATTTATATTTGAAGAAATTTATTTGATTTAATATTAATTGAAATTTATTGTTTCAATTCCATTCTTTTTTTATTCTCACATTAATTGGTTATTCATTCTCAAATTCTATTTTTTTTTGTCTGTTTTGAACTGAGGATTTATGATATGTTTTACTGATTTAAATTACACCCAAATTTGATGTTACAATGCGATTAGAATAATGAGTGAGGAGGGGGAAAGGAAGAAAAAGAATTATGTAGATAGAGAAAGAAGAAGATGCGGATGGGAGGGAAAAGATGAGGGAAAGAGGGAAGACAAAAAAAAATGGATGGAGAAGAAAAGATGATGCAGAGACAAACAGCCCAGGAAGAAGAAAGGTAATTTAGAAAATTTAACACCTGTTAGTACAATTTAAAAGGAGAGACGAATGTGCAACATTTTAGAAACCACAACTAAATTTTATGGAATTCTTGGACCAGGAATTTTCAACAAATTGAACTAATCACGATTTTATACTATTTTCCAAAAAAAATAAAAATAAACGAGTTTCACATTGTATAATTAGGGCAAAATTATAATTTTAAGTTTATTACATGATACCATAAACAATAATGATAACTATTTAGTAATTGTTTACTCGTACTTTGAATTTTTTTTTATTTCTATTTAATAAGTAATATGTACTAAATGTAATGTTTTGAATAAAACCTCCGACGGCTCAGGTCACCTGCCAAACATGGTTCGCCTAGTGTGACTTTCCCGTCGGGTCAGATTTGCAGGGTATTAGGTTCGGCCAGGGGTTTACCCAGTGCGCACTTTCGGGTAGCGACTGCGGGTTCCCACGTCATTAAAAAAAAAAAAAAAAAATTCAATTTCACTTATTATTAACGGTTTGAATCAAACCCTAACTTGTTCACCAATCCTGGCACATATATGTGTGGAATATATTTACATATATATGTATATATATATATATCATATAATACATACATAGTAAAAAAATAATTTTAAAAAATGAAAAACATGACTTAGAATAATATGTGTATACGAAGAATAATGGGTGTGGTGTGATGTTGCTTTCATAATAAAGTGGGATGAATTGCACACATAAGTCTTCCTAATGAAAATGACTTCAAATAAATACTTATAAAAGAACCCAATGCTCAAATTGTGTTCTTTGGAATTTGATTAGGGTGCGTTTGGAATTTGATTAGGGTGCGTTTGTTTGGGGGTTTGGATTTTGGATTAGGATTTGAATAGTAAAAATTTTGAAT